AGAAAGTGACACCAAAATTCACAAAAATTGTAAAAATAAAGAAATTATTTTGTTTGAATTTTTTGGGAATAATTAGCTTAGGGCAAAAATCACGTGCTCACAACTACGATTAGCTTTAATAAACAAAAGAATTTGCTAATAATCTCACAGTGAAGAGAACTCCTAATTTCAGACGAAGATATTAAAAAGTTCTGGTAAATAGGAAAATTACAAAGAGTATGAAAATTGAAAAAGTAGAAGATAATTGGGGTTTTGATATAGGTAGAGGAAGTCATAACGGGCAACTACTATTTCATGGTATAAGGTTTTATTATGTTCATTTGCACCGCTATACCCTAAAAAGCCAGAATCAAAACTTACCTTTTAATGTTCTTTACTGTCTTGTCTTAAAAGAAAGCAGGAGTAGGAATAGCCATGAAGAAGTCTAAGAAATTAGAGTGTGGGCTTGGGAAATTGGGCTTGGGGTAGGGGTGGGGCGACAGGAAATTGGGAATTATAAAATTGGGCTTGGGGCTGGGCAGGGTCCAAAAAAAAGCTTTAAAAATTTCGGTATTTCGGTATAGCGAAATTTCAAAATTTTAATACCGAAAACCGTACCGAAATACCAAAAATGCAATATCGAATTAGATCGAAATATCAAAAAAACCGAAACCGAAATACCGAATTAATTCGGTTCGATTCGGAATTTATTTTTTCAAGATTTTATGCCCACCCCTAGGTCTTGCAACCTATATAGATTGTTGCGGGGAAAAACAGTAACTGGGTAAATTAATGTTGACGCTATATAGAACAAAATAAAAACGACAAAGGAGCAGTCCTTGACTCATTTCTGATCTAATTCTCAGCACTAAACAACCACAATTATCAATGAGATTGCAGATTAAAATTTAAAACTTACACAAAAAGTAAAAACGTATATACATTCTTCTCCATACGAATGAAACACTATATCTCCCCTAGTCATGAACAATTGAATGAATCAGTATTGAAGCCTCATCTGTTGCCGGAACTGCATCATCTGTTCTCAAACAAAACAAAACAAAATACTCATTTCAGTCTAAAATAACTTGTTATAGCAGGTTGCTTGCCTTATTCTCGAAGTTACATAATTACGCTTAATTATCTTTTAGATGACAATTCTTTAAAATTAAACAAGAGCAAAAACTGAGATGAAAACATGAACATACCTGCAAGGGGAGTTGGCAAGTGGGAAACAATATTATCTAAAACACTTGCAGTTTCATTTTCTTGAACCACCCCACCTTTTTGTCCTTCTCCACTGCTGTTTTCTTGGTTGATCTCAACAGCATTTATATTTTCAGTTGGATGAAAAATATTGGAGATGAAATTGTTGATTATCCCTCCACTTCCACTTCCATTATTATCACTTTGCTCAGAAATTATATCTTCTTTCTTATTATCCTCATCTAAGAAATTATTTTTTCCTTTGTTGCTAGCATCCCCTGCTCTAGGGCTCATTAAGTTGGAAATGAAATTATTAATAACCCCACCTTCTTTGCTTTCTTTTCTCTCTTCACTGATTTCTCCAACATTTTCTTGAATTTGTTCTTCAACTTCTTCATCTCCAGAGCTAGAGAAGTTCAAGTTTGGAATATCAGTCAAACTATCTTCCATTTGCAGCACTTTCAGGATATTTTAGCCACTTTTTTTCTTAAGATGGGACAGAAATAGTGGTGATAAAGATGGACAAATGTCGTTTTTATAGGATATTCGGTATGGAAATCGTCCACGTATTTTGAGGACTTCGTTCTGCTTTGGTCTTTGTATTTCAACACCCAATGAGTGAAATACATGTGAAAGTTCCTTGGATTGTCTCTCACCCCCATACTATTTCTGCAAAAGTCGGTTCTGATGTCAATTTAAAATTGGAAAGGTAACAATGCTTTGATTTATTTTTGGAAAGGCCAACAGGTAAGGTGATTACACAATTAGGCTAAATATTTTTTTTACAGTATTAAGTTATCTTTATCCATTATAACAGATAACTTTGTTATTTTTTAAGATTATAAATATCCTTCGAATGACTTAATAATACATAAAAAGTTATACGTATATATAACTTAAACTCATAAATTTTTGATGGATAAATGTGAAACAGAGAGCTGCCATTTAAATTCAATGGCCCTCGTTAATAAAGTTGGTTTTCATTCTCTTTTATTTGTTGTTAACAATTTCTTTAACATAATCATATTGCTCATTAGAGTAAGATTTTATCCTTAAAAAACGCAACAACAACAACCCAGTATAATTCCACTTAGTGGGGTCTGGGGAGGGTAGTGTGTACGCAGACCTTACCCCTACCCTAGGATAGAGAGACTGTTTCCAAATAGACCCCCGGCATCCTTCCCTCCAAGAACTTCTCACCTTGCTCTTGGAGAGACTCGAACTCACAACCTCTCGGTTGGAAGTGGGGATTGCTTACCATCAGAGCAACCCCTCTTGTCAAAAGCACAAAAGAGATAAATGCAGATACAAAGACTTTAAAGAAGTAGATTATAGTGTTAAAGCATATGACACGTTTATTCATCCACTAAAAGTCTTCATTATTGACATTTTAATCACCTTGGAATAATGGTGGGATTGATGAAATACTCTATCTTTAACAAGAGGTATTATATTGAGAGTCTTGAGAATTAAAAAAAAAATGGTAAAAAGTATGCCCTTTTAAATAACTTTACTAGCACGAATTTAAATTAATCGTAATATTAGATATGATATCTTAACTTATCAGAGAAAATATTTAATTATGTCGCCTACTAGATTCGCAAATAAATTCTATTTCGGATATATCCAGCTTACTATAGGTCAAAGACTGGCTTTCGTGTGGCAGCAAAGCTAAATCTACAGTATTACTTATTGGAGGAAACGGTGCAGCATTTTGTTGGGATAAGCAACAAATGATATCTTGCCATGCAATGTCGCAAAGCCAATAAAAAACCTGGCTTCATACTTTTGTTACAAAATTATCTTATAGCTCTAATTTTCACGATCCGTGATTCGATGGATAAAATCCCTTTACCATTAATTAAATCAGTGACTGGATGGATAAAATTCCGTCACCATTAATTAGAGGTTTCAGTTTGAACCCTACGAATGTTAGGGGGCACTTCCCCTTTAGCAAACTTACCCAGCAAAAATTCAAATTAGTTGGGACCACAATGCAAGTAGAAGGCACCAGCAATTTTTTGACAATTTCCTGTCCAACAATAGCTATCTAATATTAACACCAAACTATTTGCGCATATTACTTTCAGTTTGGTACTAACGTGCAGTATTTAGTATTAATTAGATCAGTGACTGGATGGATAAAATTCCGTCACCCTTTAGCAAACTTACCCAGCAAAAATTCAAATTAGTTGGGACCACAATGCAAGTAGAAGGCACCAGCAATTTTTTGACAATTTCCTGTCCAACAATAGCTATCTAATATTAACACCAAACTATTTGCGCATATTACTTTCAGTTTGGTACTAACGTGCAGTATTTAGTATTAATTAGATCAGTGACTGGATGGATAAAATTCCGTCACCCTTTAGCAAACTTACCCAGCAAAAATTCAAATTAGTTGGGACCACAATGCAAGTAGAAGGCACCAGCAATTTTTTGACAATTTCCTGTCCAACAATAGCTATCTAATATTAACACCAAACTATTTGCGCATATTACTTTCAGTTTGGTACTAACGTGCAGTATTTTGTACAACATAAGAAAGACTCGATCATGTGGCAGAAATTTGAGAACCAAATTTCTGTACTTTCTTACCTCAATCGTAGATATTCATATACAACAGAGTTACATCTTTCCAGTACATTTTACTCCTACTTTTAAGCCAATTACCCTCTTTACTTTTACATGCCTGAGTATGCAATATTTCTAGTAGAAAATGAAACAAGAGAATATTTTTCCCTTATATTGATAGTCGAATACATCTTCGAATTACTCTTAGAAAAGCATTCTCGGATACATTTAAGACTTGAGTCATTAAAAACTTAAAAGAAGTGGACTCGGTTGAATGAAAATCTCTGTGTTGCAATTTGCAACCTGTATGTATCAAGTGCTCGGACTGGAAAAGTTACTAACTCATCGCCAAACTACAAAAACACTCTCATAACGTTGCATGTCCTAAATTGCATCCTCCAGTATCAGATCCTAACCATCAATGTACAGGGACATCTGAAGTTTGATTTACAGAAAAGAGAAGAAAAGTTCTTTTGAGTTCAAAGTGTAGTCAAGTAGCTATGTTACTCATCATCACTTCGTACTCGACCAAACAATGCAATTTCCTCCTCAGCTCTCTTCTGAGCAGCCCTCTTCTGCTCCCTTTTGGTTTCTCTAGCAGCAGAATCAATTTCGACGTTCTCCATTACTTTACGGAAACCGGGAACTGTCCTCTCCATCTTGTTGTACACTTGGACACTGAGGTCGTGGAATATCTCAAACAATCTCTGCATGTCAAATGCAGAAACTGTCAATATGTGAACCTTTTTAGCAAACCAATTTGAAGATCAATTTAACAACTGAATATAGGGGGCTTGCGCCATAAAATAACCTGTGTGAAATGGGCAGAAAGCTTTCCTAAAGGTACATCAAACATGTCTAGTTCTAATCTCAAACTAGGAGATCACAATCACACGAACCCAGTATGACATAATGCACCGAATAGTAGTAAATTAGTAATATAGAGGAACTAACTTGTAATAATACACACCACAAAATCACGAAAAGACAGTTAAATTTAGCAACCAACGTGAGAAGAAAGAAGCTCTGTTATTAATAGGTACCAAGCACGTACCATGACATCCTTGTTCCAATCAGCAATATAAGGAGGGCCCGTTGTGTATGTACCAAGAGGCTCGCGGTACCATTCACCACCATATGTTATTTGATCCATGGCTTGTTCAACACTTAGAACCTCCCATGGCCTCAATCCAGGGATAACCTTCTCCAATTCTTTCCTGTTTCACGTAGATGACCAGCTAAGCTATCAGATATGAATCAACCCCGCCCAAATCTTTCGTAAAAAGATTCTAGAAGTTGATGCAACTGAGACTCATTAAGTTATAATAGTGAAATATAGAACAGAAATCCATAATGTTTCTGATATGCATATGTCAATGACAAAGTAGTGAATGCAAGATCAAATGATCTAAATTCTAACATACCTACTGACCAACTTAGTAATTACATATGCATCAACCCAGAGCAACGACTCTGCGAAAGGAATCTAAATGTTGTGTGTGAATGCCTAAGTATGGTTCAACCCAGTGCAACACTTTCCATGAAATGACAGACGTGATGGTCATTATGGACCACGAACCGAAATCTACATTATAACTGACAGTGCCTTACAATAAGTGAAATCATCCCAAACTACAAGGGCGGTCTGATAATTACACTTTTTACAGGTATAAAACCATCACGAACAATCCCACCTTCTACCCTGCTTCAACAAATTCAAAATTTGATGTACTCTCACAAAAAAAAATCACAATTTCATGTGAGGTTCAGCGCTTGTTTCTTTCTTTTTTTTATTTTTGGTTAACTTACAGAATTGCGTACTACTCTACACCACAAGTAACATTTTGACCAAGCACACCACAAGTAAACGTTCTCAAATTCTTTGGTTATAACTTCTAATAAGATCACAAATGTTGCAAAATGAAATGACTCTACATACCTAAGATCCTTTGGAATGTATTTGTTTGGCATGTGGTCAGCCTCCAAAATTGATGTCAGCTCTGAGCCACTAGCCCAAAGAAACAATGCATGACTCGGAGTCCTTACACCAGGCCATACACCATCATTTGCTTCTAAAACAGCCAAATCACGCCTTTTACTCTCATAAGCTTCTTCTTGCATCTGCTTATATGTCTTCGGCTCATGTCCTTTGAGAGGAACCCAAGGAGGTATACCTTTCTGTAGTTTGTGAAGGAAAGCAGTAGCAGCAGCACCTAATCTAACTGCACTTCAGCCAAATAAATGCCAGGATTTATCATATGGCAACATGGACCTCAACCGCCACAGACTGAGAGAAAACAGACCAAAATCTACAACTACAGAACAAGAACAAAAGTAACCTAGCATGTGATATAAACAACTGAAGACGAAGACCTCATAATTTTACGATGCTTGCTGGGAGTAATATATGATTTACTGAATGACCATATGCTTCAGAATGCCAGGGATATTAGAAGACCTCTATTTTCTGATGAAATTTAAGTTTGAAAAACCAACTAATGTGCAGACTAATCTTGACAAGTTGTGCATTTCTTGCACAGACAAACCTTCCCAAGTGGCAATTGCTTTTTCCAGACCATAAACCATTCCAATGGGAGCCCATTCATCCATATCCTCACCCCAAATGAAAGTATGCTTATCAATGATTCCAGCACCCCAAGCAGTCTTAAGCTGTATTAATTCCATTGGTCCCCTTGAACGACCTAATCGATCCTTGTAAAACCACCCACCGCTCCTCATAATAACTGAGTTCAAGCATTATGACAACAGTCAGCCGTTGAAAAATAAGAATGAAACAAAACAATAAAATGTCCGATAGAATCTATTTGAAACACCACAATAGCACCAGATTACTTTAAAAAAACACCACAAAGTATCAGATCGCTAAAGAGCCAGCTATTTAGCTTCAAATCA